GATGCCCGGCACCCAGGAGCAGCACCCTGCGCAGCCCTGCTGGGTCGGAGGGGGTGTCCGTCCCTGCTTTGGGGGCTGCGGGACTGGCAGGGGGTGCATCGCGGGCAGAGGGCAGGCAGCGTTTGGGCAGGGAGTGCCTGCCTGGCGTTGACCCTGCTGTGCCCTCCCCAGCCGGTGAACAACGCCGACTTCATCATTCCCGTGGAAATCGATGGCATCATGCACCAGGTAACAACGGGGGTGAAGGGTGCCCGGTGGGCAGGGGGGGCACAGCCCCCTCTGCTCCCTCCCCGGGGACCGGCAGCCGTCCCAGCGCTCTGCACCCAGGGACGGTCGGGGGCGTCAGGGTGCCAGGGCTGGCACCTCGGGGGGCAGAGGTGGGTGCCCATCCTCCCGGCGGGGTGGGGAGGTGTGTGTGGGGGGGTCCTGGCGCAGTGCCCTGCTGCAGTGGCCGGCCCCGGGTTCAAGTAATCCAGGATAGGCTGTGGTCTGGGCAGTCAGCCTGTTCTCGGTTACTTGGCTCTGGAGCCGGCCAGACGCTTCACCCTGGATGTGCCAGCGGGGCCGTGGCATCCCCCAGCCCACGCCGGGTAGCCCCCACGGCGCGGGGCGCAGGCAGCCCTCTGCCTCCCTTGCCCAGCAGGGAGCTGCTGGCTGGGCTCCGGGACACAGCTGTCCCCCAGGGTGGGCATGGGGGTGTTGGGGGGGACGGACCGGGTTGCCGGCGCCCGCGGCGCGCTGCCCTCTGCCCCGTGCCCGCAGGTGTATGTGCTCAAGCGGCCGCACGTGGACGAGTTCCTGCAGCGCATGGGTGAGCTCTTCGAGTGCGTGCTCTTCACCGCCAGCCTGGCCAAGGTGGGTGCCCCCCCCGCCACCACCATCGCCCTCCCCTTCCTGGCCACCGCTCGGGTTGCACAACTCTCCTTGGCTGCCCACCCGTGGGCATCGGTGGCCCCTCGTCCCCTGCGTGCCCGCAGGCAGTGCCTGCCACTCCCAGGCGCCGGCTAGGGAAACTGAGGCACAGAGTGAGCTAGCACTGGTGCAGAGCTGGGTGCCATCGTCACCGGGGGGACACACACACACGACAGGACACGGTGGCACGACGTGACCCAGTGACCCCCTTCCCGTGCCCGCAGTACGCGGACCCTGTGGCCGACCTGCTGGATAAATGGGGGGCTTTCCGGGCACGGCTTTTCCGGGAATCCTGCGTCTTCCATCGCGGCAACTACGTGAAGGACCTGAGCCGCCTGGGCCGCGACCTGCGCCGCATCATCATCGTGGACAACTCGCCCGCATCCTACATCTTCCACCCTGATAACGCTGTACGTACCCCTGGGGTGAGGCTGGGGGGGGGTTATGGAGGGGGGGGGGGGGGGGGGCCCCGCCTCAGCCGCTGCCCGCTGCGCTGCCCGCAGGTGCCGGTGGCCTCCTGGTTCGATAACATGGCGGACACGGAGCTGCTGGACCTGCTGCCCTTCTTCGAGAGGCTCAGCAAGGTGGAGGACGTGTACGCAGTGCTCAAGAAGCAGCGGACTAACAGCTAGTGGCCCCCCCCACCCCGCCGGGTGCTGCCAAGGGGCACCGCCGTGGCAGCCGGGTGCCTTATTTTAGGCGGGGGGGTGTGTCCCAGTGTGCACCCCCCCCATCGTCCTCCCCAGCCCCGGTGGGCGCGGGTGCCCTCCCTGCCTGCTGGTGGTGGGAGATGCGGGTGCCCCCGATGGGGAGCTGGGTGTCCCCCTTCCCACGGAGGAGAGGGGAGCCGTGGGTGACCCGCTGCCTTGCTGTGCTGGGGACCTGTTGGGGGGGGTCCCGTCCTCCCCCGCTGTCCCACCCCCCCTCAACCCACGTTCCCCCCCTCCCCGAAACGGTTCTCAGGTCCTTTTCCCCTCTGTGTGTCCCCAAGTGGGGAAGGGGGGGGGGGTCAGCAGCTGCTGCTTTCCACTGCCTTTGGGGGGGACTAGACCCCCCCCAACCGGGCTCTGCCTGCTGGGGGGGGCTGGCGGCCCTCAGCCCCTATCTGGAGGGGCTACGGGACAGGTTAACCCCTTGCCACCCCCCGAAAAATGGGGGAGTCTTATTGGCCTTGGTGCATAGGGCCGACACCCTATCCTTAACTCTGCCCTTGGTGCAGCTGATCACCTCGGGGGGGGGGGCACGTCCCTACCCCACCCTCGTGCCTTCTGCTGCCCCCTGCCTAGGGGGTGTGTTTTGGGGGGCAGCCCGGCCTCAGGGCTGAGCCCCCGGCCGCAAATGCCCCCCCCACGTGCCTTGGGACGTCATGTCTCCATGTCGCCCCCAGCCCTGCAAGGGGTGTTCCCGGGGGGGCTCTTAACTCACCTCCTCCAACCTCAGTTTCTTCCTGGAGGGGGGGGTCTGGTGGCCTCCGCCCCCATTCCCAGTTACACTGTGTTAGTGGGAGCCACTCCAGTCACCAGGAGGGGGGGTCCCCTCTCTTGCCAGGGGGGCCACACATCCCCTCCCCATCCCTCCGCAGCTTCACCAAAGGCTGCGACTCCCAGGGGGGAGGGATCCCCATACCAGCCTTAGTGTGCCCCCCCTAGCTTTACTCCAGCCCCCCAGCTGGGGCAGGGGTGGGGTGCACTGCAGAGCCCCCCTCCCTGCAGCTTGGGGGTTACCCTGACCCCCGTGGGGTTGGGCTTGTGCCAGGGTGTCTCCCAGTCTTGAGGGACTGGGGGCTCTCAGGGAGGGTTTTTTTTGGGGGGGAGGGGGGGGGAGGCTGAGCTCAGCCAGGCCTTTTTTAGCATCGCAATATGGACAATGTCTCATATCTTTTTAGGGGGAAAAGCAACGGTTTCCCAAAAAATCATGGGTGCCTTTTGTGCCAGGGAAGGGGGGGCAGTATCTGCAGGGGGGGGACGACGAGGGGAACGCGAGGGGTTTTAGCTCTCCGGTGCTGTCCAGCCGGCTCCTGCTGGCGCTCCCCTTCTTCCAGCACTGGGTGCCAGGGGGAGGCAGGGGTCCCCCCAGGCCTGCCCGCACCCTGCCTCCAGCCCCTGCCCAATGGCGGGGGGGTGGGATGGGGGACGCTGTGGCACACCCACCCCCTGGGACCCCTGCCTGCCCCGGGCCTGATCCTGCCCCTCCAGGAGGGTTGAACTCAGCACTTTATATTAGACAAGTCAAACGGCACCAGCAAAGCCCACTGCCCAGCAAGCACCCATGGGTGCTGCAGCACCCGAGGAGCACAGACCCCGTGCTGGGCACCCTTGGGGGGTCCGGGGGGGGTCCGGAGGCAGCACTGGGGGGACTGGGGAGGGCTGGGGGACCAGATCCAAGTGCCTTCATGTGATTAAAGCTGTCAAACCATCTTGGAAAGGTGAGTCCTGTGTGTGCGCAAGTGTGTGCACGCGTGGGCATGGGCACGGGCACGGGCACATGCCACGTGCGTGTCGCTAGTGCGTGTCGCTAGTGGGTGTGCACAGTGGGGGGGTAGTGAGCCCCCGGGATCCCCTAAATCCCCCTGGGAAGGGGGGGATGCTGCAAGTCAGTGCTGGGGCAGCACCCTCGGGCTGCAGGGTGCCAAGGGGACACCCTCACAGTCCAGGGCAGCCTCCCCCCCCCGGTTGTTCTGGCACCCCCATCCTAACCCCTTCCCCCTCCTCCTGGAAGAAGGACCCTGATGCCACGGGAATGGGTATCCTACCCCTCAACAAGGCGGGGGGGGGGGGGGGGGGGGTTTCACGGGTGGGTTTTCCCCCC